TGGGAGCTTACATCTCAATTTACGAGAGAGAGAGAGAGAGAGAGAGAGAGAGAGAGAGAGAGAGAAACCATGCAGGCGCTCTGGATGGGAAAAGCCTTGGCTTTTGAAACCTCTTGAACCCTCCAAGCCTGCCCTCAGTGGCACACCTGGCCATAGTTCCAACAAGGCCATAGTTCTAATTCTTTTTTGTTTCTTTTTGTTTTTTAAGATGGGGTTTCTCTGTGTAGTTCTGGCTGTCCTGGTTCTTCTCAAACAGTTCCGCCACCTGGGGACCAGGCGCACTCAAATATACAAGCCCATGGGGGGCATTCTCATTCAAACTCTCACAGATGGAACTGGAAGCCCAAATGCTCCTTTCCTTGTATAAGTTGGGGTGGGTCACAGTGCTTTATCATAGCAAAAGAAAAGTAACTAGGACACCTGTATAGATATTTAAAAATGTATTTACTTTCATGTGTTTTGCCTGCCTGCATGTATAGGTACCAAATATGTGCAATGCCCAAGGTGCATTGAATCTCCTAAACTGGTTTTTACAAATGGTTGTGAGTTGCCACGTATATGCTGGGAATAAAACCTAGGTCCTCTGGAGGAGCAGTTTTAACTGCCATTTTTTTTTTATCATGTTGGTCATTCTTTTATATTTTTTTAAATTTTATTATTTGCTTTTGGTTTTTCAAGATGTTGTTTCTCTGTGTAGCTTGTCCTGGAACTATCTCTGTAGACCAAGCTTGCCTTGAACTCACAGAGATTCACCTGCTTCTGCCTCCCAAGTGCTGAGGTTAAAGGTGTGCCCCACTATCTCCTGGCTGGGCATTCTTTTTAAAAGTGCTTTTTTTTTTATTTGTGATATTTATTTATTTATTTAATTTTAAAAAAATATTTATTTATTTATTTATTATGTATACAATATTCTGTCTGTGTGTATGCCTGCAGGCCAGAAGAGGGCACCAGACCTCATTACAGATGGTTGTGAGCCACCATGTGGTTGCCGGGAATTGAACTCAAGACCTTTGGAAGAGCAGGCAATGCTCTTAAACCACTGAGCCATCTCTCCAGCCCCCTATTTGTGATATTTGTTAACTATTTTAGGATTTAAAAAAAAACTGTATTCTTTTGATTCCTTCCCTACATTAAAATAGGGCAGAGAGGGCTTGTGGGCTTCCTCCTTTTCAGTCTCCATTTCTTCATGATCGATTCCCCAGCAGCTGCTTCCAGGTCTTTCTGTCCTTTCATTTGTAGTTTGTACAGCCCAGAGAAGGCTCTATGCTAGCTGTACTTTTGGTTTTGAATTACTGAAAGTAGCATGTAGATAAGACAAATAAAATATCCTCAACTTGATGTCTACAACATTCCCCAAATCAACCAGGCCCTGTTAGGTCTATTATGTTGGAGTTACTGGCTGAGAGGCTCCTGGGTAGGAAGTCTTCCTCATCTTCTCCGTGGACGAACATTCCGTTAACTGATCTTACTATAGACAGAATAAACAGAGGTAAACAACAGCTTTCCAATAGTCTATCGGAAGCAGTTTATCCCTTAGCGGTCCTTACTGGCACAATGCCTTTACTCTTGGGCAGTTTCATTTTCTTTTTCCTTAGACCAACCTGACTTGGGACAGGGGCTTTGGAGGACTTGGGTCAGAAGTAAGAGAGTCGAATCCCATCTCCAGAGCTTTCTCCTCAGGGAACATAAACAGCACATGGTATTGGAACCAAGGACTGACAACAGACAGAAGGTCCTTTCTCCCCTTCAAGTGCTATGAGAGACAGAACACTTGATTTTAAAGGGTCATCCTCTGATTTCTTTAAACTTTATAAGGTCATGTCTTGGATTTTCCATGTAATCAGTTTTAACAACGTAAGCTAACATATAGCTCTATTTTTAAATTATATAGTTTTTCATGCCATTGACCTAGTGTGGAGGGCATGAGGTCCTGGTGCACACAGATAAACACCAGGGAAGCCAAGAATGTTAAAATGTAGGCTTGTCTCTTCAGTAGAAGAGATGTACACCTGCTTCCACCCAGAAAGCTGCAAATGGATGCAGTTAATCACTGGTAATCTATGCTAACTGTAGGGCCAGGCCTTACCCGAACCCCCAGATCACTATGTTTATCCCAGACTCTTTCCCCCACAGACCTTTATCCAAGCATTGTTTCTCAGTCAATGAAATCCATTTTTATGGAAGTGGTCACATGTTCTTTGCAAAAGAGTTTTGGTGTAGTCATGCCTTAAGCATTATTGTGATAACTATCACCAGAAAACTTTTCTCCAAAGTTGTATTGTGTTTAAATATATCAAAAGTTAACTGCCCAGGGTCAGACTCAGAAGTTCAGCCAACACTGGCTAAGTCGTGTTGAACCAGATTGCCTTCTTGTCTCATGTGGGTCTGCTGGCTGTGGCATTTGCAGGGACCTCCACAACTGAGAGACAATTGCATGTGTGAATGTTATAATCATTTGCTGAAAACAACAAATAAGTCAAAAGTGATCTTATACAGCAAACATCCATCTGCCATGTGTGCTGGAAGCAACATGTAGTTACTGTTTGATGAGTGGTGTGTTGGCAATCCTGTTTGTTATCTGGGTCAGTTGGAGTCAGTACCTGACCTCTTGTAAAACTCTGCAAAGAGTCCCTCACTCCTTCCCCTGTGATGTTTTTCATGCTGTTAAATATAGAACAACATCCCTAGTTACTGACACAGAGTCAGACAGTAAGAAATCAGGCAGGTGTCAACAGACACACAACAGACTACAGGCTAGCAAGAAATCATGTGATAGTCAGACAGAAGACACGGAGAGAACTGGAGAATTCAAACAGGGGCCCAGTCTTTGTCAAACTAATATAAAGGGTTTTCTGCCCCATGTGATTCCATAATGTGTTTAACCCATGCATCCAGTTACTGTAACAAAAAGCTTGAGGCAGTCAACTTACAAGGAGAGAGGCTTATTTTGGCTCAAAGACTTGGTGGCTCCGGGACATGATCAACTGGCCTTGTTGCACTGGTGTGTGATGAGAGAGAAGTGTGTGTGATGAGAGAGAAGTGCATTCTGGCAGGTGTGACTCAAATCCACATTACAGTTGAGGGAGTAAGAAAAAAAATAGGGCCCATGATACCATAATCCCTTTCAGGGGCAGGCCCCCAATGAGACACCATCTCTCAAAGGTTCTACTACTTCCAAATGATGTGTAGCATATCATGTCTTGATTTTTTGGGGTATCAAGCCCATGGTCTGGTAGAGCTTCTGGTACCTGGGGTACAATCTCTAGATTCTCTTTTGGCTCCAGGCATTTCCTAGTATTCTCAGAGAGTACTGATGTAGGGATGCACAAGTTTCTGACTGTTTCCTCTCCATGCTTGACCAAGAAGGTCTGAGAATATGCAATGAACCATCTATTGGAATCACTTTTGGTGTCGTGTGAAAGTAGAACGACTTTCTGAGGTTGTGACCATCTGATGCACATCTGATACACATCTGGTGCACAACTGATGCACATCTGGTGCACATCTGGTATACATCTGGTACACATCTGATGCACATCTGATATACATCTGATGCACAACTGATGCGCATCTGGTGCACATCTGGTACATATTCGATATACATCTGATGCACATCTGGTACACATCTGACACACAAGTTTGGGACATTGTTCAGATTTATTTTTCATCTGAAACTTCTATCACTACCTCAATGGAAATCCAGGTTAGAAGAACAAGTTGGTGAGTAACTTACCTAAAATCTTTGCAGCATCACAACCTGTTCTGTGTCCTCAGGTCTAGTGCCTAAAATGTACTTCATGGAACACAGTAGTTGTAAATTTTTTTAAAAGAAAGAAGATTTTTTCTTTTTATGTAAACATTACATGTTTATTGCAGACACATTAAGGTACAGAAAATAACAGAATCATCAAGTAACACCTGCTGGTATGATAACTCTGGAACAACCACCAACTTTTTAGAGACTATTTCTTCATTCATCTCTCTCAGAAATTCATAGAAGTACCACTATCACATGTAGTTTTATAAAACAATGCTATATTCAAATTTTTCTATGTTTATAGTCTCTTCACCCTGTAATCCTTTCTCCTTTTCTGCCTTCCCTCAGGTAGCTAATATTTATAGCCTGACGTACTTTCTTCTATATCTGTCTTCACGAAAAGCTAGTTACTCTTGTAAGTGCATGGTACTGGTGATAATTAAATCATATGTATATACATTTGTTATAACAAGCAATTACTCATAAAAATTGGGGTAATTCTGAAATTAGCATATCTATATAACTCATCTTAAAAGTTACCCAGGCTGTTCCAAAATATGGATACATCAACATTTATCTATTTTCCTATTAATTGGCATTTTCTAGTTGTGACTTTTCTGCCCTAAAAAACAATACTTCAACAAAGATCCTTATTTGTACTCTTACACTTGAGGATGCTTATTTCAATGGAGCAGATTCCCAAGCAAGCATGGGTAATTTAAATGCTATGCAACCACTGGGTTGCTGGCAGAAACATAAGCAACACAACTTTTAAGTAAGAGTACATGGTTTCCCAAAACCCTACCCTCAATGAAAGGTTAAATTTTTCCAACTCTATAAAGTAGAAGTTTCAGTTTATTAGTTTAAATTTGAATTTCCCTGAATACTAAGTAGGTTAAAATCTTTTCATGGGCTCATAGTCATTTTGAGTCTCATTCAACAGATATTCAGTCTAGATTTACATTTAAAGACTTAAACATAAATACTAAATTATCAAAAAATGTCAAACAAATTTAGATTATGTATAATTTAGGCACCAAAGATAGGCTTTCAAATAAAAAAATCAAGAACCTAAGATGAAAAATTTCACTGTAAAAATGAAAACATTGTGACTTTAGTATATAGGAGTTTAAAGACAAATATTAAATTAAGAGAAACATTTGTTACATATGTGGCAAAGAATATAGAAAAATATACAAAGCATTTAAGAAAAGACAAACCCATAGAAAAACAGGCAGAAATATATAAAGACAATTAACTTTAATTTGTTGATTGAGTAAAGTATGAACTATGGATGAAGGTTTTCATTTGTCTACTTTTAATCTCATTTGAATTATTTCTAAGAATATAACTAAATTCTTCTAACATCCATATTTAGAGTTTTTAATTTAGTGTACAGGAGCTAATTAATTTCTACTGATAAGTTCCCTAAAGTTCTTAAATACAGCTCACAGGATTCTGTGATTGAACACTGTATTGGCTGAGTCCCTCTCTGATGGAGTTTCTGCTGCACGGGGAGGCTTGAGCTGCTCCCGAAGGCTTTCCCAGTCATTACACTTGTAGGGCTTTTCTCCGGTGTGCGTTCTCAGGTGCGCAGTCAAGTCTGAGCTAGGTCTAAAGGCCTTTTTGCATCCCTCACATCTACAAGGCCTTTCCCCAGTGTGGATTCTCTGATGCACAGTCAGCCGCGATGTATTTGTGAAGGCTCTATCACATTCCTTACCTTTGCAGGGCTTCTCCCCAGCGTGCCTTCTCTGATGCACAATAAGGTAGGATTTGGTCCGGAAGAACTTCCCACAGTCGTAACACTTACAGGGCTTCACTCCGGTGTGAATTTTCTGATGCTCCCTGAGATTTGTCATTTTGGAGAACGTTCTCTCACAGTTAGTGCATTTGTTCGGCTTCTCCCCAGTATGAACCCTCTGACGCACGGTCAGGTGCGACTGTATCCCGAAAGACTCCCCGCACTCATTACACAGGTAAGGTTTCTCGTCAGTGTGAACAGGCTGGTGTATAAGGAGCGATGGAGACCGCGTGAAGACCTTTTCACACTCGCTGCATTCATAGGGTTTCTCTCCTGCGTGCACCCTGTGGTGGACAGTGAGGTAGAAAAAGTTAATAAATGCTCTTCCACACTCGTGGCATTTATAGGGCTTCTTCCCTGTATGGATTCTCTGGTGCTCTGTGAGATTTGCTATCTGGCTGAAGGCTTTCCCACACTCACTACATGCAGACGGTCTTTCCCCAGCGTGAGTTCTGGTGTGCAAGACGAGGCTTGAATTGCTCATATAGGCCTGCCCACATTCGTTACATGGAAAGGGTTTCTCTCCGGTGTGGGCTCTTTGATGGACATTAAAAATTGTGGTATTCTTGAAAGATTTTCCACACTCACTGCACTTGTATGGCTTCTCCTCAGTGTGGATCTTCTGATGGACACTAAGATAGGATTTATTTCTGAAGGCTTTCCCACAATCATCACATTTGTAGACCTTCTCATGGTTGTGCGTTTGCTGGTGTCGTGCAAGTTTGGATTTATCGCTAAATGCCTTCCCACACTGGAAGCACGTACGGGCTTTCTCTCCAGTTTGCATTCTTTGATGCTGATTAAGGCGGGCACACTGGCTAAAGGATTTTCCACAGACATTACACTGGTAAGGTTTCTCCCTAGTATGAGTCCTCTGATGTACCATCAGTGATGAAGAAGCAATGAAGGTTTTTCCACACTCACTACATTTATAGGGCTTTTCTCCAGTGTGGACTTTTTGATGCTGACTTAGATATGAGAGCTGGCTAAACATCTTCCCACATTCATTGCATTCAAAAGGCTTTTCTTTAGTGTGAGTTCTCTGATGTTGGGTGAGCAGTGGCTTACAACAGAAGGCCTTCTCACATCTGTTACATTTACAGGGTTTTTCTTTAGTACCGGATTTTTTTGTCAAAATAAATTCTAAAGTCTGCCTTATGGTTTTATGGTCTTCTGTATCCTTGCAAATCATCTTCCCCAAATGGGTATCTGTAATCAAATCTAAATTCTCTGTGAAATTTTTCTCATGTATTTGGCATTTTCTGCTCAGTTCTTCTGCGATAATTCCTGGTTCTGGAAAAGGAGCAGATCCAAGTCTAATACCCCTTTGAGCAGCAACAGTTTTCTTCTCTGCTGTGAGTCTCTGGCTCAGATGACTCTTCGGAATGTTCTGGAGTCTTAATATGCTGTTATTCCATTTCCTAAACCTTCCCACTCTGGAGCTCCATGGGCCATTCTCTGTCAGTTTCTTTACAATGATCTTCTGTGACAAATCTTTTTCAAAAACATTCTCTGATAGTGTAGCATCCTTAGTTGAAGAATTGGTTTCCAAGTCTGAGGGAAAGAAGAAAAATAAATCAAATTGCTTTTATTTCCTAAACTGGGGAACTCTCACTAAACAGGATTTAAAAAAAAGTAAAAATTGGGCATATAGTGAACATATAGTTTCACTCTTTGATATTTAACTTTATTTTCTAGGAAAAAATAGAAAGTAGAACTGACGAGAGGGTGGAGTTGAATAAAGGACCAAAATAATGAAATGTTTGTATATATGCATGTGTATATATATGTATGAGACATGTATCTCAAATTGGCCTCAAAGTATGGAGCCAAAGATGACCTTGAATCTTCCTGCCTCAACTTCCAGAATGCTGGGCTGATAGCCATGCACCACTACATCTAGGTTATATGTTGTTGGGGATTGAACCCAGGGATTCATGCATGCTAGGTATGTACTCTACCATCTGAGGTACAAATTATACCCCGATAATTTTTCTATTAAAAATCATTCAGGAGGAGGGCCAGAGATAAGGCATTTCATGACATGAACATCCGATTTTATGGTATTATCTTTATATGTTGCCAATTATTCACCTGAGTGGACACTGTTCCGACCCCTCAGGACTCTAATATCTCCCCACAGTGACCTCCCCTGGCCACTCTATTTTAAGGAGATTGTGTGTGTGTGTGTGTGTGTGTGTGTGTGTGTGTGTTGAGTGCCATCCTCACATGCTCTCCACCTTTTTTTTTTTTGAGCCAGTCTCTCACTGAACCTGGAGCTCACTGATTTGAACAGACAAGCTGGCCAGCTAGTCCTAGGAATCCTCCTGTGTCCAGCTGGCCGCACTGGGATTACGAGCACACACTGTTTGGAGCCACCTCCCCATCCACTAGGGATGACAGCCTCCTTCTCATCACTGCTGTTCTTTCACATCCCATCCACCTCACAGCTATGAGGCATCACCATGGCTACTTGTCCACTATCTAGTTGTTGAACTAAATGTTTATAAAGACATCTTATTCATTTTTGTTGCCTTAGTATCTAACCTAATTCATAGTACTCAGGTGGATAATAAATATTAAATATTATTTTGATTCCAGCTGATTCCTTGTTTAAATTCTCAATTAGTTAAGAACCCAGAGAAGGATAAAGTGAGCCTTGTTGAGGACCCTGCAGGTGAAGAACACATAAATCGTCAGCTCAGCTCAGAAGGGATCCGGGGTGGCCCTTACCGCATTTTCAGAAGAGAAAAGGCACATCAGATGCTGGTGAGATAATGAAAGGCGGAAAAGGCACAAAGTTGACTGAAGGAGCAGAGAGGGGTACGCTATGGGATGTCTTCACACAGAGGAATAACTGTGAAAATTGTGCTCCCAAGAAAATAGGGTTGGATAGGGTTGGACAGAATCAAAAGCAGAGAAGGGAGGAGTTGGAGAAAGCGCAGAGTGAGGGGAGGTGATGGACACAGGCTGAGGAAGGGACTGGGAATGTTTCCCTTGAGAAAGCTTTGGGAAAATAGTTCACATCTTTGTTCGTATCCTCCAATGACTGTTACTGGAAATGAACCCATCTTCCTGGTTACATTAACTTACCTTCATAGGAAGTTCTTGAAGTTTCTCTCACCACTGCCCATGAACCTTTCCCATTTTCCAAATGAGATATCATGTCTGGTTTACAAACTACAAGCCCTGGTCAGAGGGAAAAACGAGAAGATTATTGGAGCTATAAACAAATACTGATAAATTCAGTCTCAGTGTTTAGCCTCTGCCTGGGGTGCTCATTATAGGAAGTTCCATCATCCAATACAGTCACCAGCAAGGTTCAGAGTACGTGACAAAGGATACTTTACCATTAATGCCTATAGAGTGATCACCTGCCAAATTTAGGGCTGCCACTACCAACAGAAACCTCCAATGGATGCTGCCAGCTCTAGGCTTCCATACCTCTCCAAGCATTCCCTGTGAACTTCCAATGAGCTGGAAATATAAGGACAGACCCAGAGGCAGTAAGGCACTTGCTCTTAATACCCTTCACAAATGATGGTAGATATCACCTTCACCGGGCTGTGTAACCTCAGAACTCTGAAGGGACACAGGAAAGGAACACTCAGTCACTGCCTAGAACCCTCGGCCTCCGTGGGCACCACCAAGCCCTGCAGCTGGAGTGCAAGTGATGGATGACCTCTTCACTCATTTACTTAGGGCTGAGATTAGGGCCCCTAATGTCCAGTCAGCATCTTCTTTCACACTGTTTGAAATGGTGACAAACACTCATAATGGAGAAAGATAACTGGATATTTTAAAAGTTTTTAAACAATAAGCCTATCAAAATAAAAACCTCGTAATAATAGGGCCGTTAGATACTGCATGCATCTCTTTCTTTCATATGGGGACTAGATCTATTTCTTAGAATTTATCTGTCGCCGGGTGGTGGTGGTGCACGCCTTTAATCCCAGCACCCTGGAGGCACAGGCAGGTAGATCTCTGAGAGTTCGAGGTCATTCTGGTCTACAAGAGCTAGTTCCAGGACAGGCTCCAAAGCTACAGCAAAAACCTGTCTTGAAAAGACAAAAACAAAACAAAAGATGCATCTGTCTTGTGCAAGAATTATTATTTGACTATTTCCAAAATCTGTGAATACCATCTGTTTTCTACAATGGGAAAGTCAGTCCAGGTCTGGGTAGACAGCCCAGCTGTGAAGTGTTGTCTTGAAAGCTGAGTTTGATCTGACACTCACAGAGAAAATGCTGGTGTGGTAGCACACACTTCAGTCCCAGTGCTGGGGGAAAGGAGGATCCTGGTGCTCACTATCCAGACACTGAAGCATTAGTTGGTGAGCTTCATGCCAACAAGAGACCCTGTTTCTCTTGGGGCTGGAAAGATGGCTCAGGCTCAGCAGTTAAGAGCACACACTGCTCTTTAGAGGACTGAGTTGGTTCTCAGCACCTACATTGGGTAGCAGCCACCTACACCTCTAGCTCCAGGTCTGAAACCCTTTTCTGGGCCCTGTGAGGAAATGCGCTCACTTGCAAGTAACCCCACACAGACATGCAAGTATATATATAATTGAGAGAGAGAGAGAGAGAGAGAGAGAGACAGAGAGAGACAGAGAAAGAGACAGAGAGACAGAGAGAGACAGAGAGAGCCCCAGTCCCTAGGGAGCTGGACAGAATTCCTGAGGATGACACCCAAGACCCAAGGTTTACCTTCTGGCCTCTACATGCACCCATATTTTCATGTGCACCTGAACACATGTACACACATAAAATAATTTTAAAAATAAAAAAATTTAAAAGAAAATTCAGTACAGTGTTGGAGGTGGGTACTAGTAGGGATGAGTATGTTTCAGTTATTATTCAAGGAATATTTCAGAAATATTCATTCATAACACTGTTTTCTTCCAAACCTGAGAGACTACATCTTTATAAGGGCTTAATTTTGATGAATGTCATTAAATTTTACATATTTTCTAGCAGTGCTTATCCATTTTACATTTTCAGCCATTGTTTAAAATCTGGGTAATAAAAACATTTCACGAGAAAATGTTATCCTAGCTATGTTCTCTTTGAGTCTTCACCTAAAAAACTAACAATACCCAGCTTCCAGAAAACGGGTGACAGTGTGAGCCACAGCTCAGGTGACAGGAAGGGTGGGAGTGATCCAGGACGTGTCACTACACGGAGCTGAATCTGCCCACGTACAGCACTTTGGTGTCCATTCATGCTTTCCTTCAACAAGTCCATATGCACTACAGAGTCTGACGACAAAGATTAATAATCACGAGTACAGGTTCGTACAGATCGTCACGTGGACAATTCTATACTTGCTCATATTACTTTTCTTCTGAATTGCCAGTCACTTCGCAGGGACTGGTATAATACAGTTTTCACCACGTTAATACTCCTCCCATACACACTTAAGGACGCACACACCTTCAGGGAAACATGAAGGTATCCAGTTTTCTCACCCTTGCATCCCCTTCTCACGGCAGCATTTTCTCTATGGAAGCTGACTCCCAAATTCCACCTGTGAATTATACCTAAATCTACTGATCCTCATGAGTTTCCATAACGAACTTAGACAGCATCAATATTCCACTCCTTTCCTTATACAGCATCCGTCTTTTAATATACTATTTGCCTAAACACATTATATAACTTTATTGTTTTCTCTTAATGAGACTGTAGCGCCTGACGGCCAAGCACTGTCTTACACACCTTTCTATGTCATTTACTAAGCTTGAGAGCATCTTAATGGGTAGAAAATAGAGATCACTAAGCATGGGCAGGAGAACCTGTGAAGTTAGGGGAACACACATATCTGTGCATGTGTGTGTGTGCATGTATATATACCCCCCAATTTCCTTGTCAATTGAAGACTATGCCATCCTACTACCTTAAAAATCAATTTCCTGTAAGACATTCCAAAATAAAATTTCAAGACTGGTATAATATTTAAAAATAACCCAGAATTTTTGAAAGACCAGGTATCCTGGTACTTTATCTCATATGTAGAGTTGAAGCGGCCCTGTAGGTGTCCAGGTAGGGCAGCAAACCGCATAGAGGTGAGACTGGAACTGCTCCGATTGGCTCTGCCAACCTGGATCAGACGTGGGGCATCTGATGCCAGATGGTTCATTAGCATATTTCAAACAGTATAATTTGGGAGTGGTTTCCATTCACCCCAATTCCAGGTGCACTCCCCCAAATGAGAGTATCAAAGATTTAAAAATGCCTGGATTGCTGACATAACTTTAAAGAGATTCATTTGACAATCCTAAATGCTTTTAAGTAAAAAAGTTTAAAAATAATTAAAACATTAAACATTTAACTAGAGAGAAAAAATAATTAAGCAACCACAAGAGGAAGAAATATTTTTTTTTTAAAAAAAACCAGTGAATAAGTCCAAAAGCTAATTCTCTAAATAATGAACTATACCAGCCACTGGCCTGTTCAAACAAAAAGGAAAAGGAGCCAATAAACCAAACAGACAGAAGTGAGCTGTAATAAATAAGTGCTGTAAAACTGTCAATAAAAAAATAAAAATTTTCAAAGAACAACTTGTGTTCAATGAAATTTCTCTAAAGTATGGGTTAGTGAAATGGCCCAGCGGGAAATGGGGCTAGCCGCCAAGCCTAATGAATCAGAACTAATGTTGGATGGACAGGACCAACTCCCACAAGGTGCCCTCCGACCTCCACACATGCTCTATGGCATGCATGTGCCCTCTGCCATAAATATGTTTAAAAATAATTAAAAGTTCTCTAAGGCTGACTCAAAGAGCGAAAATAAGTGGCCAGTGCGAAATCACCTCGCAGCATCTGTTCCCCCTTGTAACCACAGGAGCTACCCGGCTACGCAGTGTCCAGCCTCGGGGGAGGCGGGGTGGGTGGAAGCCACACCGTGTTAAAGATTCTACAAGGTTGGTGGACAAATACAAACTTTGGTGATTCTGGAGAACTAGAATGTTGCTGGTCTGGGGCCAAACTGTCGTGGACTGTCTTTAGCACTCGCAACAGCTACTCGGCCTACCTGAGTTAGCGTCTACCCTGTAACTGTTAGGTAAATCCTTTTATAATAAATAAACTTTTCTTTCATCTACTGCACAATTATCAGCAGACTTAAGGAGAAACCTCACAACCCCCCACCCAACAAAACAAAACAAAACAAAACAAAACAAAACAAAACAAAAAAGGAAGGATGTAGGCTCTGACTGGGAACTTCAGCACCTCGGACCAGCCCAGTACGACCTAATCAATAACACTTTATTCCAGGATCGTGCCAGGGAACAAGTGGCTTAAAAAGCGATCATCTTAAATGCCTTAAAATCATTTTACGTGAGGAATCAGAGCAGCTCTCAGCCCAAGCCCAGCTCCCGTGCGGCCGGCCTTGGACTAACCGCTCTCCACTCGCACGCGGGTCCACGCGAGTGCGCTGCTCTGGCGCGTGGCAGGGTTGGCGTCCTGGTGGAGCCGCAGTCCCCGTGCTCTCAGCCCTTCGCCAAGCGTTCAGGCTCCCCGGGAGGCCGTTGCTGGAGACTGCAGCACCCGGCCTCGGTGGCTACGGGCCCAGCACGCTCGCCTCTGGGATCGGCGGGTCCGCCAGGCTAGATCCGGGTCGGCCGCTCCCGGCACACCGCCCCAGCCCAGCTCCCAGGAAGGGCGCGCGCACCGGGTCCGCACGGGGCAGGTAGTACCTGGCGGCCTCTCGGTGGACTGCAGAGGGCGCTCGCACCGAGGGAACTCGCACAGCAACGGCTCCTCACGGCCGCCCGCGTCGGGCAGGCAAATGCGCCTGCGCAACCCTCGGCCTACAGCACCCAGAATCCCCTTTGCTCCTCCTAGAGTTTAGGAACAGTTATCAACCCTCGAGGCTATCTAAGAATTCAATCGTCTTGGAAATTTTGCATCTAGCGTCTATGGCCGTGTCACTCACTAGCACTAGGTACCTTAAGATCTTTCCCTCAGGTCACTTCTGTGGAGCTAAGGAAAGCCACCCGGAGAACAGAGAGGCCACCTATAACTTTAAGCAGCAGAAGATGGCAGAGCTGGTGAATGTCCAAGCTTTTGTTTGACTTGGAGTTTCTGGATCGAAAAGATTGGCGACACCTACCTACACTGTAATTTCTGGTTCTGTAACCTTCCCGAAAGGAATGAAAATATGCTAAAGGGGCCTGGTGCCAGCCAGTGT